CATTTCACCATTAATAAGCAGATGTATATATTTTCATTTTGAAACAAAAGGTGATCTGTGCAAAAATCTGAAAACCAGAATAGAAGTCTCTTTATCAGTGCCATAATTAATGTACACACAAAGCTTCAAAACATAAACACATTCTGTAAGAGCAATTACAACCAATCATAGCCCACGACAGAAGGACTGAAAACGATTTTGCTTTGAGTGTCATCAGGAGTCTATGATTGGCTGTATTTGCTGGAACACATTCCAATCAATGACAGAATTTACACAAACTAGATGTCTATTGCAATTAATGTATTAGATGACATTTGTAATAGCTTGACATTGTGAAGATTGTTCATATCTGTCTTTGAGGCAGTTAAATTATTTGAAATTCCAGAATATTCTTAGTCTACAGTTGGTTGTGAGAGAGAGAGATCAGATATCTAATTATATAGCTGATAGAAAACAGACAAGATAATGTTATTTTATTCTCATTCAAATCCTATAAACACTTTTTCTACTTCTTGAAACAGACACAAATATTGTGTTTCTGCAAGTTTGATGGAAGCAGACAACAAAAATTCTCAGATGATGACAAGAGGAGGTTGCCCATTATATCTGCAAATTTCAAGGATGAAAAATAGACAGTCAAAAGCCAATACCATTGTCAAGGGTCAAAACTCAAAAACACCATGTTGATTTTTTTAGAAGACCAAACTCATGAGTTTTCATTAATATATGTTACTCTGTATTGAGTTCACAAGCTAATGTGACTATATTCCCATGAGATACTAATATAGGAAGAGAGAAATGGAGTGTTACATCCTACAAAGCTCAGTTATAAGTTATAAAGCCAATAAACTTCAAGGAATAAATGTGTTTGAATTTAAGACTTAAATTATAAAGACTACAGGTCATGGCAGACAATGTCAAATATATTTAATAATGTGTAAACAATATGACATTAACTTGATAATAAAGACTACAAGATAGTCTTGTTTGATTACTATGGCGGTCAATATTAATCTAGTTGAACATCATTGGCTATTAATGTACAAAGCGTTTTCATTTTCAGAGCAAATTGTCCCCGATTTATCTTCAATATTTATCTGTGATCAAACAGTTTGTCAACTAATTTTTTTCAGGGCCATTAACCAACTTGTGAACATCTTTTGAAATGTTTAAATGTCAATACTGAGCTCAACACAACTTTTTTTTTCTGGAGGAGATAGCAGATAATGGGTATTGTAGTGAGTTTTCTAAATCTTCGAGGTCCGTGCTACAGATTTCAGTTGGTCTATCTGTTCAGTAGCACCATTAAAAAAAGCATAGGAGACTTTACAAGAAATCATTTGCCTGGCTATGTTGAACAATTGGTGGTCATTGCTTCTAATCTGATTGCTAAATAATCTGCTTAAGACTTTTTAAGAGGTTTGGTATATGGGATCCTTCAGAACCTCTATTAAATTCTCTTAAGACTTTTTAAGAGGTTTGGTATATGGGATCCTTCAGAACCTCTATTAAATTCTCTTAAGACTTTTTAAGAGGTTTGGTATATGGGATCCTTCAGAACCTCTATTAAATTCTCTTAAGACTTTTTAAGAGGTTTGGTATATGGGATCCTTCAGAACCTCTATTAAATTCTCTTAAGACTTTTTAAGAGGTTTGGTATATGGGATCCTTCAGAACCTCTATTAAATTCTCTTAAGACTTTTTAAGAGGTTTGGTATATGGGATCCTTCAGAACCTCTATTAAATTCTCTTAAGAATTTTTTCTTATTTTTGTCTAGAGATCATTTGATTGACATACAAATCTTTACCTTATATCTCCAGGTCTGAATTTTAATCACATTTGTCTAAAAAAAAAATAAGACTATACATAGTAAGTCATGTGACTGAAAAGTGAAGTCTGTTAACAAACAAACATAACTAATGGAAGACATGACCACAACGTTGGTTTCAATTTGCTTCCGTTTTCCAGTGAAGACGATAATATTGATTTTAACATAAAAACAAGTCAATTTCTCTCTCTAACAAACATAATTCAATCAAAATAATTCTATATTTTCTTTTTCTATCTTCAAATTTCAAGGGAATAACAGGTCATCAATCTTTTATAAACTTGTCAAATAAATTTCAGAATGCACTATACCATAGCTTAAAATCAATCAGTCATAATCATTCCGTTTCATTGTAAAGAAACTGAAAGTCAAATTTTGATTCTGAAAAGTGATTGGGGTCGTAAAAATTGAGCCCCATTTCTACAATTGCCCTTTTCTCATAATTGGCACTTTTATTTTACCAAAAGAAGCACAAAAATAGATGTATGTGATTTTGGTTCAAATGAAATTTTGCAGTATTAAAGTTTTGTATATCTTATTAAGTTAACTGACAAATCTTGCAGAAATAACAACAGGCTAAATTTCCATGGTACTTTTCATTTCATTGTTAGAAAACTTAAAGTTAGAATTTGATTCTGAAAGGTGATACAGGCAGCTGAAATAGAGGTTTATCAACTGAAATTGAAACAACTATATACATTGAAAAATCTCTACAAATTATAATGATCATCAAATTTCCCCTAGTTTGTTTGAATTTGATTACATTTCAAGTTGTTTTAGGGCACTGTTTTATTATCAAATATTTATAGAATAGTATATATATAAAATTAGTCTACGTATTTCACTGCCTACAGAATTGATTTTGAGAAAATTAAACTATTTAGATCGGCAGTAAGCCAAATAAAAAATTCATTACCCACCACTGAAGGCATAATAGAAGATATTAACACTTATTTTTTCTCAACAATTTGTAATCTTTAGTTTATTCAGGGTGGAGGTGTCAGACATGTTAACTATTTTATTCTTTGTAATCTAACACATATAATCGATAAATTTCAACGAACAACAATCACATCTTTGGTACATGCCTTCACAAAACAACATTGTCCATGATATGAAGAAATCGAATGTCAAAATGTCCTTCAGACAAATTTTCCAGACCTCTTTCCTGGAACTTCTTTTGTTTAAAAATTCTCCTTGGCCAAAAAAAAAAAAACAACACAATTGTTTCTGATTGACTATGCTGCTGACCTATGTATGGATAACTAACAATTCTCATCAGGAGAGATTTAACCATGAAACAATGGCCATGAAGCAAAAACTACAGTGGAATAGTGAGGATTTCATAGACAAGCATCCCTTTGGATTTAAAATGATTTTTGACGTGAAAGTAGAATTTTTCATTTCTATGACCCAAGAGGGGCACCGCTTAATACGCCTCTGAAAAACAGTAAAAGTTTCTGCTTTAAAGATTCAATGAATCTTACTGTAATAGTCTATCTATCTTTAATTCAGATCACAACTTTCAAGTCTAATGAATAGACTATACTAGAATGAATCCTTTTATTGACAGTCTTGGTATTTTTGGATCATAAATCAAGAACTTCTATTCTATTTTGAAAAAAAACATGTATTTTTTATATTCTATTATAATTGAAGTATTTTAAGCCATGTCTATAAATACTTAAAATAGAACTTTAAAGCTGCTCTCACAAAAAACAATTCAACTCAGGCTCTACTGGGACGACATTGGCAGCCAAATCAAGATGACTTACCATGGGATAATGGCCATTTTACTTTATGATACATTTTGGATATTTACACCACAGACAAGGTACAAAAAACTGGCAAATGCTTCACTTTTGAAAGAACACCACAAAGAAATGTCTGTTTTTTTTCATTGATTTATTTTAAGTCCATCTAAACCAACCTTTGCCTAATTTAAACTCGGATCATGCTGCAGCCTGGATTAATGACTAATCTGTTGAAATTTTCTTAAAATTTGAAGGTGTTGAGGAAGTATGGGATTTGTTTGTAAACTATAAATGCAAAAGCTTACATGTTATCAAAATGTTAAAGGTGTACTTTTGATAAGAAAATACCAACTCAGATGTAGGAAATTCTTTGCCTTCATTCTTTGCAATTTCATGTCAAAAAAATGTTCTTTGTGGTTCAGAGTTGTTGGTTTGAGCAATGGAAATTTCTCCTTCAATTCTAAACCCTAATTCAATAATAAAAAAATATCAATATCAGAGTCATCAGACATTCTTAAAAAAACAGTTTTGATCCAGGCCTGAAGATGTGATTTCAATATTTATGGTCTATCAGATCTGTCTGTCATATTGTTCTCTATATCTAACTCTCCTATATCATATACTTAACATGCTGCTTTAAGGAATTTGTCTGAGGATGAAAATGGATTTTTCTCACTTGATTAAAATGATTTGCCTGGTTAAGTTTTACATTTCTTCATCCTCTCATTTGACTTATTGCTATACTTCTTTATTATTTGTACCTAATTGACTTTGTTCTAACTAACCCCGCTAATGACTTTCATAAAAAGTGTAACTAAGGATTAAGGTTACTCCAAATTGAGTACATGGTCGAGATTTTGAAAAAAAAAATTTAAATCTTCACTTTCAGAATTTTCAAAATTTTAATAGGTTTGTCATTAAATGATGAGAAAGGTTGACAGATGTCAAAGGCACCGGCTCTGGCATACATCAATACTTAATAGTACCGATAGTACTTGCAAAATATTTTACGTCCCTAATAGAAGTGCACAAAAATCACCATGATAGGATTCATGATGTAACTAAGGAGGGATTATAAGACAAGAAAATAATGTGAATAGAAATGATAAGCAGACGACACTTGGATTAGTGTAGAATATTCCACATCAGTTTATATGTTGATCTATTCAAGAAATCTACTTCTTATGGTAATTTCCTACAGTGTTCCTAGACATTGATATTGCTTGCTCTTTTATTGTTCAGTACAACTGATTGGAAATTCCTGGAAGTCCAAATTCCATTGAAACCTATGCACTATTTTATGTCAAGCAAATTGAGAGCATTTTTGAAATACTGTTGATGTTATGGATAAGATTCATTTGAATCAGGATGACCTTCACAGGGTCAAATTCTTCACTTTTATTCTTACTGTACATAATCACCAAGCAATTTGCTGCAACAATATATACATACCAGTAATATTCATTGTTCACTTCCACATATAAGACTAGAACAGGAGAATGTTACATAATTTTAATTGTTCATCTCCACATATGGCAATGGCTACATGTGCTCATTGTTATGAAGCTAAAAACTTGATAATGTTTTGATACTCATTTATTTGTAATAAATAACACTGTTATTTGATAGCTACTCATGTTAAATTATTCTGTTCATGTGGTGTATTATTTGCCAGTAATATCTGACTAGTGTTTTGTTAGTCAGAATCAGAAATAATCAATTAGGTCTTACCTGAGCTCCTGGACGTAATTTAACCATTTGTTTTTCCATCTGTAATCTTTCTTTTGCTGCCTGTTTGATAATATTAACCAACTCCTCTTTTTCTTCATAAACTTCCACATTCTAAACATATAACAAATACATTTAAATAATGGAACACAATTTAATCATATACTACTCCTGAGTTTTATTACACAACTTTTCAATAATTTACATTATCATCATCAGATGAAAAGCTTTAAGTCAAAAGGGTCACAAGTCAGTTTTAAAGTCTAACCTTTGTGGTTGGTCAAAAATTATTCTCAAATAATTCGATTCCTTCAATTTTTGGAGGACATAATGAAAATTGGAAATTTAGAAGATTCATTCTACCTATAAAAATATAACTTAACCTTTGACCTTAAATTTTGAAGTTGTACTTACTTGAGGAGTACCATATTCACCATTACTAATTTGGTCAGCCAGTTCATGACATTTTCTCCGTAAATTTTCCAATTCTCTGTCTTTAGCCAACATAGATTTAGCATGTTCAGCCAAATCCTTCGCTCGTTGTCGAGCAAACATTTTCTTAACGTGTTCTCCATCTTTACTACTATCTTCTTTCGATTTCTGAAATCAAAATAACAGATCCATTGTCAGTTGTTATCCAAAATCTTCAATCTTCATGCTAACACAAAATCTCTAGTTTCAGAGGCAAAAAATAACTGCCATAACCATATTTCAGAAAGATAACTTTTCTTAATAAGGTGTAAGATTTTGGAGATGACCTCAGAAAATTGACAAACTTAAGAGGATACACAAGACCAAGTACAGTAAAACAAATTCAAAGCAGAATGCTTGACACAGCATCCCATCAGAGTCTTGTTTCATGCAGAATTGGACATGACTTAAAACAGGCAGTATTGAATTATCTCCCTTTAAGACATATTTCTATATTAGTAATTTATATACCTTAATATTTTCCTGCTGTAAACTCTTTGCCTTCTCTTCCAACCGTCTAGCAATGGATGCTAATTCTGCATTTCTTTTCTTTAATGCTTTAATCTTTTCTTCCAGTGGTTTTTGTTCATCGTGTTTCTGCTTCTGAAATGATAGATGAAAATTCTAGAATCTGTTCAACAGTAAAATCTGATTTTGAAAAGGTTATTACAAAGATATAGAATAAAAGATGTCATAAAATTGTTTGCCCCTTTGATATTTAACAGAGACGACTATTTAATGTCATTTGTGATGATTTGTAATGTGTAACTGTCTTTTAAGTACAGTCTCTTTTTGCTGCACACACTTCCACCGATAATGAAACTGTTAAAATGTGAGACTTATAAGAAATAACATCTATAATAAGTATACAGTCCAAGTAATTTGAAGAATTTCATTTAGCATTTTATGCTAATTTGGCGTCCATTCTCCTTATTCAGTAGACAGTTTTAATCAATTTGAAGTGCTGAATAACTTTAATTATTGAACAGTGTATTTAGATTATATTACTGGAAACTAAATCTATAGTTTAACACATCTGTACATCAACAATGAAATGGATGCTAGTTTTACGTCCTACTTATCTGCATCTAATTGGGCTAATGAATTTGAGGGAAATTTGAGGGATAATGGCATTAGCCTATTCTTTTTTCATGACAGCCCCTTCAACCTGCGTCACTCAAAAATCTGTAGGTATTATCTTGACATATGCCAGGATTGAACCTGGTCCCTTCAAATTAGCATGCAAGTGTCTAACTCACTGAGTCACCGCTCATTTGCAAGTAAGTACAAATGAGTGCATATTTGATAGTAATTCTAGTCATAGTAATAATGACTACATCAATAAATATGTACTGCCTATAGCAATAATAATATAATGATATGAATTAAGTAATTTGTTGATATATGTATGAACAAGACTTGTTATTTCATAGTTGATATCAAATTTACTGAGGAAGAGCAAAGTTTCACTTCGCTGGACTAATGAACATCTTGCGAGCTTTTGAATACACAGAGCCCAAGGTTACCATGTTTTTCAATGAGGATAAGAAAGCATTGCCTTTGTAATACCTTATATTCTACTTCCTTACAATTATCATCGTCCATCAAAAGAGTAAAATAATATTTTCTCACACACAATTAGGTTATGTTCTCGTTAATCACTGATACACCTAGAGAATATTAAACTAGTCCAAGATTGTGGCAATATCGCGTCCCTATCACCTTCACAAGTCAATTCTGAATATGTAGTAACAAGGGTAATGACAATATACCTCCATATTATATATAGTGTGGGTAATTCTTTTAATTAATTTTTAAAAAATAAACCGGAAGCATGTTTAAAAAATATAATTTAATGAAATCAAATGCAATAACTTACAAGTGTTTCATTTTCTGTTCTTATAGTAGATAATCGTCTTTCTAATCGTTGTAGCTGTGTTTGTAATTCGTTAATCTTCTTCTGTAATGTTCTTTCTTTCTCCCTTTCATCTCGTTTTGTCTGAAAAAATAAATAGAATGAACTTAATATATATATTATCAAAATGCTAAAAAATAATTGCAACAAATATAACTTGGTTAATTAAAATTCATAAATTCAATTCAAAGACAAAACTAAATTTTCATCACACAATCACTTCTTATTGTTAAAAATCCAGATCCAAATTTTGGAACTGTAGTTGGCAACTGAATGCATTTTCACATAGTCAGGTTGCTTTCATTAATCAAAATGAACTGAATGGAGTTTTACTTTTCTACACTATGCGGGCTAATGAAGACAGGTAACGCTATGCAGGGTGCTTTGAGGGAAATTTTGCCAGGACAGTGGCATTAGCCTACTAGTTTTCAATTTCCAACTGTCGAGGGAACTTTAACATGCACAGTCTGTAGCACACAGGGTTCATTATTTAACATCATAGGCTTTTGGCACAAAAGGAAAAATGATAACGTTATATACAGTAGAGATAAAGAGAAAAAAAATTTTCTAGATAATGAGAGATCAACAGAACATGTCTAATTGTTCGAATAAAGACTTTTTTTTAAACCTACAGCAAAACAGAAATGCAGATAAGATTTTCTTTTTAATTGAAGCATGCAAGAGCAAGTACAATCTAACAAAAAAATACTAAACATTAACAATGTACAACAATTAAAAGCATTTACTATACTATTTTATTGTTTAATAAATCTATATAAAAATATCTGGCAGCAATTTTAACTCTTGACAGAACAATAGGATGTCACTATAGGTTTATAAAGTTCTAATAATTCTCAACTTTCCACATGAATTCTTCTCGAATGAAAATTAAGCTAAGTTAATCACTCGATAAAGTATTCAATGTTTGAAATCAGAAAATGAGATTATGTCTGCAGATATGTACATGACTTGCCGACAAATGCAAGCAGAAGACATGCAAAAAGTTTCAGTAATGCAAGAATCAACAAAAATGTAGCCTACCATTAAAATTTAGGAATAAACAACCAAGGGAAAGCAGAATTCTATCAGGAAGTCCTAAGCAAATTACCTTTTTCAAGATCATGGTGAAACAGCAAAACAAGTTAAACTACTAAGACTATACAAGGAGAAAATAAACCATGCTATTTTTCTACCTGACTCTATTAAAGATGTCATGAATTCCTAAAGGTGACTTCAAAGGAAAAGAATGATTTGAATAAACATGACAACACTTGTGTTGTTTTTAAAGTTTAATTTTTTCAAATTGTGACTTAATCATCATATTTGTTGACATTTTGAATATAATAATATCTCACAATAAAGTATGTAAATATGAAGAAATGTCAGAAAACATTGATGTTGTTTAAAACAAGTTTATTGTCCGCTTGCTGAAAGGAGATGTTAAAATGTTATGATTTCATTTTCATCTGACAATTTCTAAACTGAAAATGAATACCATGGATCCTCTTTATATTATCGGGACTTTCAGAGCTTTGTTGAGAGATTGGTCAACTGTTGCTCCAGTAGGTGTTGAACCAGATTTGTTCCATATTTTTTCTCTAGGGCAAGATTACAATTGATCATGTAAACTAGCCAAAAGGAAAAAAAGCTGTCCAGGAAATGAAATAACCTCCCTTCCTTTCCAAGACCAAAATGCCAAACCAAACTAACCTTCCCCATAGATTCCATGAGAATTCAAGATCTCCAAGACAATTCATGTGACCTATATGAACTGCAAATCTATTCTAAGACCCATTGTCACAAAAACATTATCAAAATAAATATTATAATCAAACAAAATTGGTAATTTTTTCAAGAAAATTTTCAGAGAATAGAAATAGCATTTCATACCTCATCATCAGTTTCTTCATTTTCCTCCATAATGTTCATATACAGATCTTACTAATAAAATACCGGTACTAAACTAACAACATTAGTCAAGTTAGTATGGTGTACCAGTATTTTAGTCACATAAAAATCAAAATATATATCCTTTAACATCCATCAACAATGAGATTAACATTTCTTGTGTAAATGCAGCATGAATCACACATTTTTCGTAACTTCTCATTTTTTTTTTCACATAATACAATTTTCCTTACAAATTTCCAAACAACAGAATGACAAGAAAAACAAAAATCATGTTTAAGTAAAATCAGTTTTTTTTTATCTACACATGTCATTCTCTTACAGTTTGTTTATATAGGCACAGCTTTATGCATCAATTTCTATTGGTGAAAGTTTCATACGTTTTGACATGTTTCCCTCATAGGCACAGAATGAAACTTAGTCTGCTTTGGTGTTTCGTACATCAGCATCAACATCTTCAAAATATGCTTCAAAGAATTAAAGTTTAAGAGAAACTGAAAATAAACGTTCCATCACACAATCCTATGATGCTTCTCCATAATCAAATAAACAGTATTCCTTGTCAAAGCTTGAACAGCAATGTGTTTTGTCAAGAACAAAGATAACACACAAGCTATTCAACTATAAACAACAACAAGTCACCATCAACAATTACTATACATGTAAGTAAATGATATGTATATCATGATGTCTTATCTGAATATAACCTTTGAGAGACCTACATCTTATCATCCTAATGGTTTCTAATATATAATATTTACTTTTATTATTACATTATCAGTTACTAACTTTAAAGGATATGAAATTAATCAGATGTTTGGGTCCAATTTCTCTGTACCTGGGTGGAACATGAAAAGGATTGCAGGGAAAAGAGAAAATCACGATGTGGTAAGGATTTTTAAGGGTAGGGAGATAATGCAATCGTTCAAGCATCCTGAAAGGGATAAAAGAATGAAAAAGTTTGAAACTCCTGTTCTAAATCCTTTTGAAACTGTCCATAACATGCTGTACTATTTGCACCCATAACTTTCAGCTGAGGAAGACACACCTACTTTTCTTGTGGTAGTCTCATGAAATCAATTCAGCTCAATTACGGTATAAATTACAGCTGCATTAAATTGAAATGAGATTAGTTAAGATAGTAGGAAATCACCTGGTAAGTTTAAAGTTTTTTTACTCATTTGTAACAATTTAATATAAGTCTGACTAACAGCTGGTCTAATATCTCAACTAGGTCAAAGTGTGGACTAGGTATTGTATATTACTATATAAATCAATATTGTGCTTTTCTGCTTTAATTAAGACCACCTGATAAAAATAGATGTTGAAATTTAATAAATCTTAACCTGATAAGGTGATATGAAAATCAAAATGATATCAAATGAAGATGATACCAAATTTATGATGATGTTAAAATGATGATATCAAAATGATGATATCAAAATTAAGACGATATCAAAATTATAAGATGATATCAAAATTAAGATGATATCAAAATCAAGATCATACCATGCATATGTGTTTTTCGTGTTTGAAATCTTTGACCAGTTCGAATGACCATTGTCAAAATAAGCATTTAAAGCATTCCTTTTCCAGATCTTCAGAAAATTGTCATTTTGAATCTTTTAACAAGCTATTTAACTCTCTAGATTTGAGACTAGACCTAATTGTGTACTGTGCAGTTCTTTTCTTTTTTGACACATTACTGACCCTTTCCTAATATTTTCAATTGGACATTTAGGGCAGACAAACAGACATGTCTAACAGATATAGCTATATCAAAAGCCACTGTCTCTAAGCCACTGATTGAGCAAATAAGCTATAGCTAGATCAGTTTAAGAAACTTTTATCACAGTGGGGTATTATTATTCAGACCAGTTCAACATATTGAAATTAGTTTTAATGCTCTTCATTCAACCACATCGATTATCATCAACATACTATTATTTATCATCAAACACATTTCAATACTTCAATATTTTATCATTATTTTATATCTTCACTATCTAATGGCCACCACAAGACAATTTTATTTACTTATTTACTGAAACTGGTCTGGGCTATCATTGAAGGTGACAGACCATAAACTCAAGGAAAGGAGAACAAAGTAAGAGAGAAAGGTCATTTTTCTGAAGATGGAGATAGGATAATCAGATGAGATTTCAACATTCTGAATAAAACTGAATTCTATTTAAGACATAAGCAAAACAAATGCCAAGGTTTAGCTGTCTGTTCTGGAACATGTTGAAATAGCCCATGTCTTTAGACAAATGTTTTCATGAACATAATAAAAGCACAGTACACACACAACTGTATATTTACTGTTATATTTGCAACTGTGGTGCATGCCTGTATGGAGTCCATAGATCTCAATAGAAAGGTCTAGAGAGTAACAGCTGAGGCAGAGCCTTATGTGTACATGATACGATTTGTCAAGGTCTTAGTTTGTAATTTCATAAAAGTTTTTCTTGTATTCTTTCACGATTGCCAGCTTAGTAAATATTCTAGTAGCTGTAAGATTGCAAATTGTGGCAGTCCAGTTTGACCAACCCTTATAGGCCGAGCAAAGACATGCCTAATCTTGGTCTGAAAACTGACTCATGCAAGATTATGACATATATAGACAGTTATTTACTAGATATCGGCCCTCCTTGTTATATACTCATTTAATCATAATTCATTATAAGTCCATTTTTTTTTACTACAATATGCAACTAAGAGTGTATTGTTTTCATATAATGTCAAATTTTAAACTTTAGAATGAAGCATTTTAGAAATAATGGGAATTCACTTTTTTAAATTTCTAAATACCAGTGGATTTTACAAATTTTCAAAATGCCACAGGTATTAAGCTATCTCATTAGTAACATTGAAGGACAGGAAAAACAAGTAACATTTTAATATAGTGTACATATAAAAACTATAACACGTGTTTGCCAAACCATAAAAATTTGACCCTAATTGCAACAAACTCACCAAAATATTAACAAACCTTCTTACACAACCTTCACATCAAAATATGAGTAGATATTTAAAATTTTCCATGGTAAATTCAAGGTTAAGAGATAAAAGTTTATGTATGAAATGTATCCATGGAAGACATTCTTGAATATAACTTCCTATGAAGCATGGCAAGCAGACAAAATAAACTCTTATGAATAATCCTGACTTCGTTTGAGAGATGATTTGACAATACATCAATGAAATGTCAAAAGACAAACAATCAAATCCACAATTTGTAAACTAATTGTGTTCTAAACCCCCTAAAATCACGTCAAAATATTCTAATGCCACTACCAGCGCCTCTACTTCCAACTCTTCAACACTTTTCTCTCAAAAATATATATATGTTGCTGAGGATATCATTTCACTTGACTTATCTAGCAATGTTTAAAATGAAATAGCCATCTTGTTATGATTCTTACAGATAGAGCAAAAAGCACAACATACAAAACAACACTGACAAAATGACAACGTAGCAGAAATAGTTCTTCAAACTTACCTTAGTTCTAAGATAGGATTTGATTTTAGCATTATGTTTAGGTTTGTCCTTACTAATTGAGGTAAAAGTTGAATCCTTAGGACTATCAATATCATCTGGATTAACACTCGGTTTAATATTCTCATGACCAGCACGAGGACTAGAGCTTATTGGCATCTGCCGTTTCTTACGAGAGGCAGAAAGAGTATCTTGTTGATACCCAGGAGGGCTTATAGATCCAACGCCTAATTCTACTTCTTTATGTTCCACAAAAACAAACCCTTTATTTGGCAAGGTTTTCGAAAAGGTTCTGTTTAAATGTTTCTGATGTATAGACCCATTGAGATTTGGCACGGAACCAGAACTTTGTGGATCTGATATGCGTTCTTTGGTTCTCACTGGAGTTCCATTCCTGACTACTTCTCTAGGACTAGGAGTTGCAGGTTTTAGATCTGTTTTGACTCTTTGATGCATTTTCATGTTGAATAACTTTCCAAAAATCAAAGAATCAGAATTGTCTCTACTCTTTCAAAGACTTTTGCACAACATTTGAAACAAACATATGTCTTCTTTACTGAAACTTTCAATGTAAAGTTATATTACGAAAGATTGAAAGTATAGCAAAAGACATTTACCACAAGTCCAAATGTTGCACTATTACATCCAAATAAGGAATTCACTGAGTTAAACTAATATTCTAAGAGAAATTACCATTGTCACACCATTTGAGGATCGATCATTAGAAGGCCAAATCTGAAGACATCTGAGCTAAAATCTTAATAATGTCCAACCAAATGGAAAACTGTATGGTTGATGGATTTCTACAGAGTACATTACATCCATTTAAGTGATAGATAATGATTAGCTTATTCAAATCACAATACACCGAAAACACACGAAAATATCTCCACTTAGTGATATAATGTCTCCTAATAATACAACCACAACTCAAAGCAATGTTTATTGGTAGGATGAAAGGGAGAAATTGATTATAATTGGTTGAAAAATCAAGTAGTGACAGGTCTGGATGATTGAACTAACACAATCTTGTATGTAATCTTAAACTTAATGAAGCGTGTACGTTATAAACTTGCTGCTGGCTGGAGGGTTAGGGATTATAGGTACACGAGAGATTATCTCAGGATTAATTAATTATTACTAGTATTAATCATAATCTAATACTAGGTATATATGAGATAAAGGTCAAGGTAAGCTGTGGTATATAACTATATTATATTGATTATTGACCATATTCCTACCAGCTAGACTTTAAAACATGTTTCATTGTTTATATAATACATACGACCATAAACTACAGGGATATATTGATGTGCCAAACTGTATTATCTTACTAGAGAATGTTTTTAGAACAATGTCACCATTGAGAAACAAGAACAGGTTTAAAACTACCAAAAAAACTTTGACACTTTGTCATTTATTACATGTTAATTCTTTAGCTACTTAAAAAGCCTGGTTTTACCTTCTAAAGAGCTTTTTTGATTTGTTGGATTCTGAAATTCAATTGCCAAATTAAAATCTGAAAAAGTTCTTAACTTCACAGTTTTGTGTAATTTTGAATTGCATTTGAATTTAAATTGGAAATGAATTTTTGAAAAGTGATACAGATAGCCGAAAATTCAGCTCAAGTTTAAGCTCCTACCTAAAAATTACAAAAGTAACATTTTTCAAAATGACAAAAGGTATGATAAAGTATGAATGTTATTTGATGGGTTCAGTAATTTATTGATTAGTGTAAGAAATGACTAAGAATAGTCATGTATCACTATCTGTGGTATAAATATAAATAATTTAATCATCTGTCTTATATACTAAAAAAATATATTCTTACAATCAATATCATGTTTTATTTCTTTTCTAGGTCAGAACGTCCGGGATGCCAACAAGGAATAAAAAGATAGAGGAAGTGGAAAATCTCAGCTGAGGGTCAAGGGAACCACAAGCTCCAAAGTAGGGGTACAGTGGAGATTTGAATATTTTATGATGCTTTAGAAGTCATTTCCTACAGAAATATTTTCATCTCTCAAGCTCAATATTGAGTAGTTATAGAAAACATAACTAAAGAAAATATTTGATACTGTAACTAAATTTGAGAGTTTACATAAAAAAAAAACCGCCAAAACCCAGATCAATAAAAAGAAAGTCACTGCAAAAAATATTGTCCCTTCACCTTACTTTTCTCAATGTTAATTACCTTTAATTCTGCTTGTTTTAAATAATGAGACAGATAGGCGGCGGACGGTGTACTTAATCTTTCCTTAATATCCAATCTCGTACCATTTAATCCTGGCTTTAATCCATTCATTTTATTATCCCTTAATCCAAATCTACACTAAAATCTAATGTCTCTATGTGTCTACATTTTTAAAATGTTCACATTGTCTCTTATTGGGACATCCCAGCTTTAAGGTATTAATCCACAACTGTTACACATTAATCCTGAAGTATCATAAAATTATCAGATTTCAAATCACTGTTAGCAATGACTCAAGTTTAGTATTGAAATGATACATAGTTTGCTAAAACATTATATTCCATTGAACATTATTAAAGGTCTTCCAAAACAAATAATAGAATGCTCTGTCCACAAAGCACATCATAATTCAGGACACCTTTACCCTAAAAAGTAAATTTCTAATTTTTGAAATTTAAAAACATTCACCTGTTTTCTGATAATTCAAAGTCACATAATCCTTTCAGTTTTTATTAAATTCCAAGAAATAAACTTATATTCTGTCTGTAATTATCGAATATTATAATATATTAATGAATCACACATTGATATTGAAAGTTTGTCACTGAGAAAATTCGACTGATTACATATTTTGTATACCTGTTAAAGTATAAATTGACACCAGATGTCAGAACCAGTTAGTTAGTTTTGGTTAGTTAAAATAAAATGTAGGTAACTGTGTCATTTAATCAATTTCGAAGTTTTTTTTTTGGTTAATTACTGCACTGTTTAATTTATCTTTTAAAAGCTGTATTTTGTATTCTTCTTTCACAAACCAGTTTTCAAAAATGTTTTGACTTGCCTTCAGTAACCTAATGTTATGAACAGACTTTTTCTGTATAATGTTTGCAAAATGTACTTTGGTGAAATATTTCATATAATTAAGAAGTTTTGAGCAGATGAGGAAATAGAAGGTATGCTTTTTGACCAATCAACTTTTGATGTCTTTTGGTAAATTGTGATCCACATCCAAATAGAAAATATATACTTTGCAAATAAAAGCACTAAGTGATCTGTACAGTATTGAACTATTGTTATTTAAGTTTAAAACACAACACTGTGAAAGTAATGATTCATCTTAACACCTGGATCTGATCTGTAATAATACCAGCATGTTGTTATATTGTTACTATATTTTATATAACACTCCAACAGGTTTGACTTTTAACAACATTTTAACGGTCAACTTGTCAACATCACATATACTTTAACATTGTCAGTAATTTAAGCAGTTTGTTCAACAATTTCAACTTTTTTGACATAATTTCTACTGGATAAATATCTGAAAGAATCTTTCAATGGTATATCCATCAGAGAAGCACAATTTTATTTTTTCCTACTCCTGTCTCAAATACCAAAATGTATTTGCAGGAATTTTCATTTTTATTTCACAATCAAGACTTTCACAAATTCCAATAAGAAAAGAGATTCAGCCTTACTTATAATATAGGCTACTATTGGTATATGCATGTCCAGTTAAAAAAGGTTTGACAATATAAAATTGTTGACACCTGGACAGCTATCAAAATGACCGTTTTAGCAACGAGAAGTAAAGTGCTAACTTTTCCTATACATCAAAGAATCTTTCACCTTAAATAGCCTGGCTTCATTATACCTTTGTATTTGTCACCGGGTCGAAACTTGAACTTTCACTTTTATTCAACTGACTCATGAAAACATTTGACATTTTCTTTTTTCACTTCTGCTACAAAATTTTTGTTAATTCAAGACACACGTCAGCAAAGGTAAATAGTTCTCATATCTCCATCATACAATTCATATATATTTCTAAATATCAAATGAATGATATAATTCTTAAATTTCAGTTCTGCATTAATGCACAGGTATGCTCATTACATACTTGAATGATATAGAAACAAAGTGAAAGTTGATTTTCTCATGAGAATTTTTTTAATGAAGATTTAATTATGTTACTACACAGTTGATCTTTGATGCTCAAAAACCACTTGATTGACACTTCTATTCAGCCAGGTTAAAACAGATTCAATATGCTAGATTCCCCTCGACTCTCATTCAGTGTAAGAATTCCCCGACAATTTTGAATCATGTAGTAAACCACAAATAAATTTGTTTTTATAATAATAATAATAATTTTTATATTCGAAAGCAATTAATCTTCCAGTTGTGATCAATGACGTAAATCCATATTAATTTTGAAATGTGAGTCATTTAATATGATACACTCCCATATTGCTATCGACTTTTAAAAACACATTTTTTGTAAAAATCTCCCCAAAATTCCACAATATGATTTCAAAGCACAATGAAGATAACATATGAACAATTGTCATGGCACAAAATGAAGGAAATTTCATTAGAACGAAGCTTATTCATCTACCTGGACAATAACATATATTTTCAATCAATAGAATTTTGATCTACATTTACCTCGAACCTGTAACAGCTGTTAGCAGACGGCACCAATCATCTTGTAGTATTCAATTTCAAATATGTCAATATACATTTTTGATTGGTTTTATTTGAAAAGAATGATTAGTGCTAGACAATAAGAATGGAATGGAATTATCATTAAAAGATTAATAGTAAAGATAATGTATATGCTATGAGAAATGGTTTGAAAAAATTATTGATTTTGCATGGAATATTTATATATATTTATAATTATACAAGTAATTTCAATTTTATATATGCCAATCTATAGTCTGTATAAAAACTTACATTGTGTATTTAGCTACTTGATGACAACAAGCTGCAATCCAGTATTCCTATCATAGGAAGTATAGCTTTTATTATTTGGGAAGCAGCAGAAGACTTAATTTAAACCTCTCAGTCAGCTGTGAGTTGCATTGTTGTCTGCTAGATAATTTGTTGCGAAAGGCTAGAATCATTCTCTAGGTAAGAAAAATTCAGATTCCAAAGGCACTGCTTTCAAGAGTCAGCATCTACCTATGAACAGTAGATCATGTCTCCTGGCCCTGTATTCTCAAAACGATCTTAGCGCTAGGATATTCTAGGGTCTTCATATCTAACACTGTTTTTAGGACGTCCTAGCCTTAAGATTGTTTCGAGAATACGGGTTCTAGATTCTAAATAGAAGACAAACTGTCACATTAAAACAAAGCCACAAAATATTTACCAAAGGTTTAAGTTTTGTGGACAAAATTAACAATTTGATTCGTTGATGCTCTCCTAATTTTAAAATTTGGATTGCAAAGCTGTATAACTATATATATCTTCTAATTCAATG